ATAAGTGCTGGTTTTGATTCGATTGTTCTTCTGTATCATTTCCTGGGTCAGATTACCTGATGTTTACCCACAAATCTTACACTTGCTTTACAAGAGCACAAAGCATTTCTTGGGTTAGTTCACTGGCTCTGTGGTCACTCCATTCTCTCCTAGCTGAGGCCATGAGTATGCACAAAGATTTTGTTGGGGTTGGACCCTGAAATAGGCCCGAGGCTCAGGGAGCCTTTGCAAAACCCTGGCCTTGTTTCTTCCAGGGGCTGGCTCACCCAAGCAGGAGGAGTTGGTGGACATATCTTGAGAGCAGGCTTGGCGCTGTCTTCTTTCCACTCTGTTACTTCAGAAGCAGGGATTTCTTTGATGCAGTGGGGCTCAGAGTGTTCCTGGCATTGCATGAGTTGTTTCTCACTGTTCTTGAGGAATCGGGGTTAGGTTTGGAGAGGGAGGTGGCTAGAGAGGGACAGACTCAGATTCATTTTCTGCTCTGGGTTGAGAAGCACTTTTTGATTTCTCCCTTATTGACAGGCTAGGTTTTAGTCCCTTGGGAGCCTAAGCCGCTATGGGAGAGCTGAGAACTCTCTCTCTCTCTCTCTCTCTCTCTCTCTCTCTCTCTCTCTCTCTCTCTCTCTCTCTCTCTCTCTCTCTCTCTCTCTCTCTCTCTTTCCCATCAACACTTGTCATGGATTCAAGGGGGCGGGAGGGGGTTGGCAAAAGCCTGGGCTTCAGTACCAGGGCAGGCAAAAGATGAGTCTAAACAAGGATCAGAGTATGGCATTGTTCCAACACCACAGAGTGAGGAAAGTAGGTCATGGAAGAAACTGCAGGTTTGACAGAACTGGGGACTGAACTTATCACCTCAGAGCCCATTGGTGTAGAACGTGAACAGCCACTGAGGGATCGAGGGTAGCTGAAGTCTGCAGACTTACACTGTGAGAGGCTGCCTGCATAATGGTCACCCTCCCTGCCATGTTCTCTCCCTCCCTTGCTCCCATCTCATCTTCCCTGGGACAGCTAGCAGCTGAAGCATCTCTGGAGAACAGAGCAAGCCAGGTGGCAGCATCCCCGGATACAAATGCAGAGCTGGCATAGGAAGCACCCAATCCCTTCCCACAAAGGTGGCTCTAATTATAGCCAACATCAGCCTTGTTCCATGAATGGCCAGCATCAGGAAATGCTTTCTCCCCATGAGCTGTAGCCAGCAGCACAAAGACCGATCCGCCTTGGTGATCCCGCTTTCTTTTAGGGGCCTTGAATGGTTTCAGATAAAGCCTGTTTTTCCTGGGGTGGGGGGATGGTTTATTTCTTGGGACACCATTTTTTGCCCAGTATGGATTTCTTTCAGGTCTCAGTTCCTTCAGTGACACAACAAAAGCATCAGAGGGATCATTTCAGACCTGAGTGTCACACTGCTAACACAAAGAAGTGCAAGAACATAAACTGCTTCTTTATCCAATGTTTTCAACTAGTGCTTCTACCCCCAAAATACTTGTAGTCAAAGATCAAGTGACACTTACCTATGGGCTTTGCAACTAATGGCTGGTTTTCCCTCTATGAGTTTAGCATTGAGAACAATGCTTCTCATTTATAATAAGGACTAACATTCCAATTCTGCCAGCTATTCATCTTGTAACTTGGCCCTATATTTCAACTCATCACAGATTCCCCAGTTGTACTCGGAGGGTAATACTATTTATAGAGGAATCAGAGTTTCAATTTCGTATGCGAAAGTACTTTTCTCAGACCTGGCACCTCTAGGAAGCTTGATCCAAGGTTTGCTTCTTTCATCATATTTGAAACCACTGGAAGAACTTCTGAATGAAGTCTTTGGAGATAGATATACACAAGGCTGGCTCATTAAAAAAAAAGATGGAGAAGACATTGCATCTGCCTGGTCATCTCCTCCCACACTGTCCACTACTCAATGCTGCTGTTTGAATGTAAAAGATTTAAACCCCAGAAGATTAAAATGCCGTAAGTCAGCTGTTCAGTAGCCATGTGTGGCTAGTGGCCATTACACTGGGCAACACAGCTGTAGGACATTCCATCATTATAGAAAATTCTCTTGGACAATGTCTGAAAAGTTCTAGAAGTTAGCTTGTCCACCATGAGAGCAGGTTTCTTAGGTCCAACCCCAGATTTCCTTTTGCCTTGACTACTAACATGTCCAAGGATACCATCTTGATGGACACAGTATTTTTCTGCATGACTGAACATTGGACATGCTGGGCCTTGGCTGTGCTATGCAAGTATTCTACCACTGGAGTGGGTTCCCTTGCCTCTATCCTATTTTTTATTTTGAGACAGGCTCTTACTAAGTTTCTTAGGCTGGCCTGGAACCCACTCTGTTGCTCAGACAGGACTTAAACAACCAATATTTCTACATCAGCTTCCAAGATACCCAAGATCACAGGCCTGTACCACCAGGTCTGGTGACTCAGTATTTATTTCATAGCAGGACCAAGAAAACCATCACATACACACCTTCTTCTGAGCTGGTCAAGCTCTTGAGTCTCCTCATTCACTTCTACCATCCTTGTAAACAACTGATCACAGAGAAGGGTCTTAGGGACAGCTCTTGGGTAAACTGGACGTTCATGTGTCATGGGCCTTGCTGCCTGCCCCCCCCCCATTGTGGCTTTGTGCCTATCATGTGATACTGCCGCACTCTAGCTGTGAAAGGCAGCTGACTTTAAAGAAGACAAGAGTATCTATTCCACCTGCCTTCCAAAGCTGCATGCCTTTTTTTCTCGGTAGAACGGAGGTAGCGGTTGTTGCTGTTGTCAATCAAGGAAAATGAGTGATACAAAAATAGAAACACGTGTGCTTCCTAAATCCTAAGTTGCTTTCTCTTCTGCCGACAATATTAGCTGAAAGATAGTTGGTGGTCATTCTTCATGGGTATGGGAATTGTCCCAAGCACCCATCACCGTAGGCTTTCCCATGACACTCCTTCCCATGGGGAATGAGTACTTACCCAATTGCGCTCATGTTCTGTGATCCAAATAGAGCAGAAGATGTTTCCAGATGGGATTAAAATGCATGTCTGGCTGACTGCAGCCAATTCCAGTCAGAGAGAGGCAAAAGTTGGCGTGATGGGGGCGGGGAAGCATGAAATAAGTCAAGGTTAATTCGGCGTGTGAGGGAAGTTGAATTATTCATTTTCCAACTGTGTACCAGGTACCTTCTATGGCCCAACTCCCATGTCATTTTTGGAGCACGGTAGTCAAACAGGCCCCTTAGCCACCTTCAAAACATGCTCTTGGCTCTCCTTTAGTTCTTAGTGACATGATTATCAACAGGGGGACTTGGGTGCCAGTTGTAGGCTGAGGTGTGCCTTTTAGAAGTGCCCAAATGTAGCACAGCTAAGGGGAGGGAGGGGGGGGAGCTTCCGCTTAGTGCTTCATTCCTGTTAGACCTAAGTGATTGGAAAAAAGCAAGCTGGGAGGCAGGAGGTAAGAAACGACTCAGAGGGTTCAGAAGAGGGACTTCGGGGTCACTGGAGCTCTTATTTGCCTTTAAATGACATTTACAACAGGAAATTCATTCAAATAAGAACACAAGTGGGGAAACTTGTACCGTCTTGAGGAAGCAAGGGGCATCAAGAAGAGAGGAATCAGAACTGGGCCTCTGCTGGCTGTCCCTGGGGTTTCTCATGTCGCATCACACAGGGAAGTGTGGGTGAAACTGTGCCTGGAAGCAGGCTGCTCTGGCTGGCATTTTATATAGCTTGCTAGTCTTGGCTACTCTGCCTCTGATGGGTCTCCACACTGCCCCAAATTGCTGCAATTAAAGCCTATTGTGATGCCCCTTTATTCTCAGGGCTGCTTCACGGTAAGCCAGTATTTCTAACCAGGTTGAAATAGCTGAGCAGGTATATTCTTGAGCTTTCTATGGGAAGGACATAGACTCAGAGTCAGGGTTGTGTTTACAGGGCGGCTCCTATGCGAGGCTGAGCATCTGCGCAAGATCCTGTCTCGGTAAGTAAGGAAGTAAATGAAATGAATCAATGAATGAAGTAGAGATCAGAAACTCAAATGCCATGCAGAGGTCCCAGTACATGTAAGAGAGAGAGGTGGGAGGGAGATTTGGAGGAGTGAGACCCTGAGAGTGCGCAGTTCCTCCAGCATCCCATCCGGAAGCCTGGCAGGAATGCCAGCCCAGCATTTCTACACCTGCAGGCTTTTCAGGACAATCTGAAAATCTGTTTTTAATTTTTAAAATATTGCTTTGATTTTTTTTTAAGTACTGGGCCAAAACAAATGCTCTGGTCAAGCAGAAACCATCCCCAGGACTAGATTCAACCAGCGCATACCGGTGTACAAGCCACAATTGGGAAATATCTGTAACAAGGCTTGCTCAAGTGCAGCGATTTACAGGAGAGTCCAGTTCACGGCTCTCACTGTGCCAAAACCCCCTCCCCACCCTCAGTGATACCAGCATGAAACCAGGCCAAAGGGGCAGTCATTTTGCTAAGTGTCTTTTACCAACCTTCAGCGATAGAGCTGCTCACCCTGTCCCAGGCCTGGCCTGGTCCTTCTTGGGGATTGGAAGTTGTGCTCTCACTCCTCTTCCAGCTAATTGCTTTAATGGATCCTGAATGTATCTAGGCTACCGCCCCTAACCACTGGGTCATCATTTATTCACATGCCTGAAGTCCCTTAAGCAGCCTCCTGCTGGCCCTCACGCTGTAGGGGATTAATGTAGTCTGGTTGGTGAGTCAAAAAGAAAGATGACATCATTTTCCTGTCAGGCTCAGGATATGTGCTTGTGTCTGCAGGGTGACAGGGAGGAAAACCCAAGATCCTTCCCTTCTAAGGTGGCATGGGCCCCCACCCCCTCCATCGTCTTTCATTCCAATCTGGCTTCTCCCGAGGGAGTTATTAATATGGGACACAGCCTGGCTCCTTCCCTTCTGTCTCCTAGTATAAATCCAACTAATTAATTTACTTTAACAAGAGGAATCATTTTCTATTTCTTTTGATCTTTGTTGTCATTGTTAGAGCCTGGTTTCTCTGACTTCAAAGCCAAACCATGACCGCTTAGGTTATTCCACCTCCAACTTCATCTGGGCTGGGCTCAGCTCTCGAAGACCTCTGCGTTTGCAGTGGCAGATCCTCCGCTCTTCACCAGAGAAAAGGACCCTTTGTGCCAAAAGGTTATCAGATGAGAGAAAGACCTAGAAGAGAAGGTAAAAGGTGAGACTTCACATTCTCCCGGGTCAAATTAGCGGAAGGAAAATGGAAAGGATACCTCATGTGACAGAAGCCAAGCAGCATGAGGAGGTTTACCTGTGTGTTCAAAATCTCCAGTACAATGAGTTGATGGCTGAGTTAAACCAGGATGAACTGGAAGATCTTAATTGTCTTTTCTTTGTTAAAATTAACACACTGCCTTCTGTATGGTAGTGAGTGTTCTAACCAAGTAAACAGAAAGGGAGAAATGGAGACAAAGCAGGTGGGGGGGGGGTTGGTCATCTCAAAGTGACTTTCCTTACAAAGAACTAAAGCAGAGGGGACTTCATGCTGATAACGTCAACCTGTTGGGGAATAGAGTCTCTCTCCCTCCTGACTTCTTAGGAGTTCAGATAAGCAACCTAGTTCTGTCTTGGTTGGGTGGCACCATTTGGTTTGGTCTGTTGGATCAGGTATAGTAAGGAGTTCAGTGCAAACCAATGACTTCCTGCAGGCTTTATGAACTGGTTTACTGAATAACACACAATGGTAGCATACAATTGCCTGGTTTTGGTTTTAATCTTCTGTCTTCTTTCCATGCTTGAATAGAAAGCCCTGCCAGAAATATATCACTTATTGCCAATAAACTGCCTCTCCTCTGCTACATCTGGGGAACCAGAACAGTGTGTTTGTTGCTGCTGCTGTTCTAAGCAATGGTGTCAGCATGTAGAAGCAGAAGGCTGCCTTTTCCAGGAAACCCAGCTCAGAGCCAACAAAGAGAGAGCTGAGCTAGGAGGAAACCAAGTCCGTTGGATGCCTCTCCTGCTTTCCCTGCTTTCATCCATGGCGGAAAGGTGTGTAGGATGATCTTCAGTCCTGCTGGGACTTCCAGATCATTCCTTAAAGAGCCCTTAATTCTTGTCTGGGTGCTGACAGATCCTTTCTTTTCTCTCTCCACCCCCAAGGAGGTGTCAATCTTTCAAAAGCCCCGCCCCCACCACACCTCCCCACCACAAATAAGTGAGAGGAGAGTTCTGGAAAAGCAAGTGCCAGCTTGTCCATTGGTACACTCATCTGGGGAGAGGAGTCGGGAACTGCTAACGGATGTGCCAGCTGCCGTGGAAACCCTGCCAGGCTCAGGCATGGGGCTTTCATGTCAACACTGTAACCCTCACTCTTGGCCTCAAACATGGCATGACTCGGGAGGCGATCCTGGAACTCTGGGTAAAAATGAGCCCCTTCCTTGGGGTAAAGCAGCTGTATGTCACTTTACTTTCTGACTCAACACACAGGCAAGATCCCTCTTTCTCTTGGGGTTGGAGGCTTTTGAAATTCAGTTTTTCATGGTTTAAGGACTAGAAACCATGGTTACTTTTAAAGGGATTCTCCCCCTCTTTCCATTCTCCGCTTCCTCACTGTGAAAAAAAATGCCCAAGGAAAGCAACATAAGGAGGAGAGGGTTTATTTTGCCTCCCAGCTATGAGTGCAGACCAGCATGGCGGAAGGGCTCTACCTGTGGCAGCAGCAGAGCGAAGCAGCTGGCCCTAGGTATCTGTGCACAGGGAGCCGACAGAAACGAATGCTGCCACTCAGCTCCATTTCCTCCTCTTTTTTTCAGCTCAGGACACTAGTCCATGAGATAGCACTGACAAAATTCAGGGTATATCTCCCCCCTTCAGTCAAACTTCCATGGAAATGGACTCTTGGACATGCCCTGAGAGATGGCTCCTGGGTAATTCTAGGTCTAGTTGCATTGACAATGAAGATTAACTGTCGCACCCGCCTCGACCAGCAAGGAAGACGCAATGCTCAGACTCTTCTTTAAGCAGTTTATTCAGAAACCTTGAACAATCTTCTTCTCCCGGGGAGCACCGGGGAGTGCCAACCCACAGTTTAAAAGCCCTTGGGCGGCCAACCCCAGTATGCCACGTGGAACATGCAGATAGGTCCACGTATGTGGAAGCAAGCCTGATATCCAGCCTTAACCAAATACAGGTGTTGTTTATCACAGAGAACACCTGCTGTCGGGCTAGCAGAAGGCAGAAGCCAGCGCCATCTTAAGGGTGCGGCACTTCGCAGCTCTCTGTAATTAACTATCTCCAGTCGGGTCCCTTCTACCATGTCTCCTTTGTAATATCATACACTACCTAGCTGCATTTTAAAAACTTCTACTAAATAAATATAGAAATGACTATAATCTAGACTATATTCACTTTCCTTTCTGAGGTTTCAGTTACCTGTGGTCTGCCACAATTAAAAAATAGAAAAATCAGAAATAAAATAGTCACATCTTAGATTTGCGTGTTGTTTTGGGTAACATGATGGAATGTCACACCATCCTAGGATCTGAACCATCTTCTTTTGTCAGGCATATCTATGATGTACTGGATATATGGGGGGGGGTAGAAACTGTGTGTTCCCAGCCATTACAGCCGCAGCCATCCACTGCTTAGACAGCATCCTCTGTGGATGAGGGAATGGGGATGTATGTAAAAATTCACATGCATGTGCAAAGCGAAGTGCACAGTACGTCTTTTCTTGGTTTCTTCAGAAATACACTTCTGTGATGACACTGGCTACTGTTTATTGAGCACTTAGCATACACCAATGACTCATTAAAACAGTTGCTTCTATTACGTCATTTAGCCCAATAACCAAAACTGCAGAGAGGCAAAACAGCTCTCCTCTGTGTTTTGTGAATCTTTATCAATGGATTCTTTCGTGGGTGGGATCATGCTGCTACAGCCAGCTTAAGCCCAAGTGGTGACGATTTACCAAAGTAAAGTTGTTACAAGGAGTAAGCGATATTCTCATTCTAGAAGCAAAAGAGGAATATGTTGTCCAGTGAACTGCCCTTTGGGAGAAGTTTGCTCTTGAGAGACTTAGATACCTCAAACTGAATTAAATTACTTGCTTCCAGAGAGTGGTACTGGTGGCCTAGTCAACCTCTTGCTATGAAATGTCACAGGGATGCATATGGGTTCAGATCAGAACATGGCATAATTTATATCATCAGTGAATGCTAGCACTTTTGATGCTTATCATTATTAAATTCTAAGACTCTGGAGATTCTATTACCACCCCAATTTTCAGTTAGAGAAACTGAAGAAAAGGGCACCAGAAACTTCTCTAAGGTCATAGAGCAAAGCCAAGGAATTGATGATCGCAGCTATGGGTCATTCTTTATTTTGTTTGCCACTAAAATACTTTGTGAACTATGACTGTAGAAAGTAATATAAGATCATAGATGGATTCCACCCCCACCTCCTGTAGGGAATCTGCACTTAAAGCAAACATAACATGTACTGAAACCCGGACATGTGTCACAGCAGAAGCATTTCAATCCCTTTGGTAGTGATGGAGTCCTTAATTACCATGTGCCACTGCTGTTAACCTCTGCAAAAAAGTCTAATTATCACAGATTAATGAACAGAGCTTAGGCACATCTGAGAGAGCTTTGCTGAGGGGTTTTTCTGCATTTCTGCATTTCATTATCTCCACCAACAGCACTGTTCATCATGCACTGGCTATAAAACTATTATTATTATTATTATTATTATTATTATTATTATTATTATTTTTAATTATGCCCTGTGAAACATCAAAAACAGAGCCCTTGAAAGAGCTCAGGGCAGGGTTTGCTTTCCAGGAAATCTTTAGGAAGCCTGTAAATTAGGTGGCGGCTGCTGGCTGTTCACTGATGAATCATGCCACATCGGTTCATAGGGAATAAAGCTTAGATGGTCGCCAAGGAAACGGTGAGATTTTGGAAATATCTGAAACCACAGAGAAATTTCTAGGAAAAAATCAATGTCTTAGTCAAGAGTCGGGTCAACCTTATCTTCATCAGGGTGAGTAACAATAATACAAATGCAGGTCCAATTCTTCATTCCTGACTGCAGCAGAACCTAAAACCACACATGCCGGGCTGGGATGCATACCCCGTGTGCAGAAAATGGTCTCTGCACACAGAAGAAATGATGTTGCCATTTTTGTCCTGAAAACTGGCCAGCAGGCTGGTCCTTGGAGCAAGGTTGTGCCTGGCAGACATCTTTGAATATGGCCATAAGCTCTAATGGAGCTGACTCTCTCCCAAGATTCTCTGAAATTCCAATGTCACATTCTGTCAAGACAACAAGCTTGTAGCTAGCAAAGGGCTGTGGCCACATAGAGTCTGGGACCTCAGGAGAATCTTGGGTACAATCCACCAGACAGGTTTCATTAATAAATGATTAGATTTGCAAATCTTGTCAGTAGAGATTGCTATCACAGAATTAATGGAATAAATAAGGAAACATTTCCAGTGTTGCTGGCCAGCTTTCAGAGCAAAGTGGATCTCTGCCTTTGTTGCAATTTATGGCTGCCTCTTTGATCAACTCCTGGGGAGTTCAAGGAATATTTTTTTTTTTTTGCTTCCAACACCTGCCTTCAGCTTTTAGGTTTGCTAAAGAAAAAAAAATCCTTGACTTTTCATATCATTTTGTGCTTCAAACACAAAGGTTCCCCAGGATAATTTCAGATAAAGAACCCCTGCAGAGTGAATAATCTGCAGTAAAGAAAATCTGAATTGTGTTTTCAGATACGACCCATTTGACACTGGGTTAGGAAAAAGGTGTGTGTGGGATTTTGCTCACAAAGAACATAAAGTGTCCACAGTGTTGTTCCAGCATCTCCAGTCTGTAGCCCAAACTTAAAGGCATCTCCTGATTAAGCAAACTGAGATACCACCCAGTGAGGATCACTCAGCAGGTGGACACAACATATGCTCGGATGTTAGTGACACAGGGGTACTCCTATTTCCTTTGTCAAAAATAACAAAGAAGGGGGAAAACTTTTCTTTTTAAAAAAATTCTGAGAACATTAACCATTGTTATTTATATTTTTAAATATCGGAAATAGGAAAATGTGACTATGATAGTTTTAATATTTCTACATACATGTGTAGTGAAGTAGAATTGTCACTTTCTTTGGACAAAGATGAAGGAATCAAATTGATTCTGACCATCAACCAACCCCCTTGTAACTTGATGGTGATTAATACATACTGCTCAGTGATCAGAACATTATTCACACCATGGCTGCTTTCCAGTGTTCCTAAAACTTAGAGAAAGGTAAGACATTTGTACTAGTATCAGAGAAGAACCAAATTAGAATAATAACATGTAAACCCCAAGAGAGAATGAAAGATATTGAAATGACTTGGTCTGGGGAAGAAAATTAGATATGTGAAATTCCTTCTGAGAACAGAACATGAAAACAGCAATAGCTAAAAGACAAGATTTTTAATAGAAACCAGAAGAAAATTCTTCCCTTCAAGTTAATTGGGCAGCTCAAACATATGTTGTCTTTTGGAGATATGGCCCAGTGAGTTGGAGCTTAGTTTAGGGTATCTGTTTTGGGGAGATTTTTGTGACAAGATAAGGACTAGACTACATTCACCATCAGTTCTCTTAATTACCACTCTTCTAAGATAGCTAGGATAATATAATATTGAGGAAAGTTGTGACAAGACACACCTCACTAGGGTCTAAGCTTTGTCGAGCTCACCATTTCCCTGTAGCTCTCCTGTTAGTGATTTAGATGTCCACTTCTTTCTTCTCCCTTTTATTGAAAATAGATTGTTTTCTATTTTCCTAATATATTCTAATTACTGTTTCTCACCCTCTACTTCTCCTAGCTCCTCCTCCAGTCCCCTCCCATCTGGATCACCCCCTTTCTGTCTCTCGTTAGAAAACAGACAGGATTCTAAGAGATAATAATAAATAAAATATAAGATGAAACAAAACTAACACACTGGAACACTACAAAGCAAACAGAAGGAAAAGAAGCTGAGAAAATGCACAAGAAACAGATATAGACGTAGAACCCACTTGTTCTCACACTCAGGAAACCCATAAAAAAACACTAAACTGGAAGCCATAATATTTATCCAAAGAATCTGTAGGTAAAAAGAGAGGGAAAATATAAATAAAATAAAAATAAAAAAATTTTTTAAAAACCCTTACACAGCATTTTGATACAAGGAGCTTCCAGATATGCCATTGAGTTTGACCATCTACCACAGGACATGCAGCCCACCCTTAAGAGTAGTTTGTTTCCCCAATATAACTCCCTTGAAGAAAACTAAATTTTCATTTGCAAGTCGTTGTCAATTAGAGATCACTTCTGGCTTAGGGATGGGGACATATGTCCACTTCTCCTTTCAGCCCTAGGACCCTATCTGGTGCAAACTAATGCAGGCTCTGTTCATGCTGTCTCAGTCTCTATGAGTTCATAGGTACATTGATCCTGTTGATTTAGAGAGCCTCATTTTGTTGGTGTCCTCCATTCCTTCTGGCTTTTACTCTCTTTCCTCCTCCTCTTCCACGTGGTTCTCTGAGCCCTGAAGAGAGGAATTTAATGGAGACATCCCATTTTGGGCTGCGTGTTCCAAGGTCTACCGCTTTCTACATAATGTCTGCCTCTGTGTCTCTATATTTATTCTCATCTGCTGCAAGAGGAGGCTTCTCTGATGATGAATGAGCAGTGCACTGATCTATATGATAGCAGAATATCATTAGGAATCATTTTATTGCTACATTCTTTTAGTAAAACAGTAGTATTTGGTTTTCCTCTAGGTCTCTGGGTTATCTAGTCTCAGTTTCTGGTCACCCCAGTAGTGTTGGATATGGATTCATGCCATGTGGTAGGCCTTAAGTCAAATCAGATATGGATTGACTATTCTCACAAGCTTTGTGTCACCATTGTCCTAGCATATCTTGCAAAGACACCATTGTAGCTCAAAGGGTTTGTGGCTGGGTTGGTGTTTATTTTCTCCTTTTGTAGCATGCAGAGTGCCTTCCTGTAC